CCTCACGTCCCCACGGCTGCCCCTCACGTCCCCACGGCTGCCCCTCACGTCCCCACGGCTGCCCCTCACGTCCCCATGGCTGGCCCTCACGTGCCCACGGCCCTCTCACCGGTTGTTGATCTTGTTTTTCTCCACTTGTTCACTCTGGCGCTGGTTCCACTCCTCCAGGTCCTTCTTGGCCTTCTCCCGCCACTCCTGTTCTGTCACCTTAGACGCAGCATCTGGGACCCCACAGGAGAATGAGCGGCTGCTTTCCAGCTGGGATGCACAGGCTGCTCCTCCCCTGGCCCCTGCCAGGCACCTCAGGGCCGCCCTGGCCCAGTCCCACATTAAGGCATGCAGGGTTCCACGCACTCCAAGGCCTCCCCACACACTTCACCCCACACACAGCCCACTCCGATGGGGGTGCTGGGGAGGGGACCCCAGCCCAACCCACCTCAGCCCTGCCCTCACCCAGCTCTTGCAGCCGTTTCCTCTGCTCTTCTCGCCACTTGCGGATGCTCTCGGGCTCCTGGGTCAGCCTGTCAGCCTGGGCAATGGCTGCGTAGCCGTCGGCAGGACCGTTGGCCTCCTAGAACACAAACACTGCTGGGGACCTGCTCACGTCTGGATAACTCAGCCTCAAACAACCTCATACCCACTGTCTCTGGTGACTACACCTCCCTTTGCCCTTGCTGTTCCCTCTGCCAGCAACACTCCTCCACCTGTGTGACTGCAGGCAAGTTACTCACCCTCTCTGTGCCTGATCATTGCCCTCAGCCCAGTCATAGGTTTTGATACCCCCCAAGCAGGAGACTCAAGAAACCATGTGCTAGTCACTTTCTTTGTCATAAAATGGGCTAAATAACAGTATGCACCCCAAAGGGAGGACATAAGGATGAAATGAGTTAAAAATTATAAAGAACTTAGAACACTGCTTGGCACAGTGAGTCCCTTGTTCTACAGTCATTAAAATCACTCTCTATTGTGGTTGTTAACTCCTAACACTTAGTCCTCACTTTATCTTTTCTTTTTTTAATTTTTTTTATTATTTTAAAATTTTTTTCATTTTTTCTTTTTCTTTTTATTGCATTTTAGGTTTTGGAGTACATGTGAAGAACATGCAAGACTGCTGCATAAGTACACATGTGGCAGCTTCATTTGCTGCCTTCCTCCCCTTCACCTATATCTGGCATTTCTCCCCATGCTCTCTATCCCCAACTCCCCACCCCCCACTGTCCCTCCCTTATTTCCCCCCCACAGATCCCAGTGTGTGCTGCTCCCCTCCCTGTGTCCATGTGTTCTCATTGTTCAACACCCGCCTATAAGTGAGAACATGCGGTGTTTGATTTTCTGTTCTTGTGCAGTTTGCTGAGAATGATGGTTTCCAGGGTCATCCATGTCCCTACAAAGGACACGAACTCATCGTTTTTGATGGCTGCATAATATTCCATGGTATACATGTGCCACATTTTCCCTGTCCAGTCTATCATCGATGGGCATTTGGGTTGGTTCCAGGTCTTTGCTATTGTAAACTGTGCTGCAGTGAACATTCGTGTGCATGTGTCCTTATAGTAGAACGATTTATAATCCTTTGGATACATACGCAGTAATGGGATTGCTGGGTCAAATGGAATTTCTATTTCTAGGTCGTTTCTTTTTTTTTTTTTTTTTTTTTTTTTTTTTTTGGGTTTTTTTTTTTTTTTTTTTTTTTTTTTTGAGACGGAGTCTCGCTCTGTTGCCCAGGCTGGAGTGCGATGGCGCAATCTCGGCTCACTGCAACCTCTGCCTCCCAGGTTCAAGTGATTCTCCTGCCTCAGCCTCCCAAGTAGCTGGGATTACAGGGGCCCATCACCACACCCAGCTAATTTTTTGTAATTTTGGTAGAGATGGGGTTTCACCATGTTGGCCAGGCTGGTCTCAAACACCTGACCGAAGGTGATCTGCCTGCCTCCGCCCCCGACAAGTGCTGGGATTACAGGCCTGAGCCACCACGCCCGGCCTAAGAGGACCTGACTTTATAATGTGTTTATCTGTCTGTCTCTGCCATCAGAACATCATCTCTGTCCTGTTCACTGCTACACCCCCAGAGCCCAACATGGTGCCTGCACAGCAGATGCTCAGTAGACATTTGTTGAGCAGAGAAGTAGTCTTGAGATGTGTGACATATCACCGCTCGGAGCACACCATAGGGAAGAACCTGGACTCTGCGGCCTGGCTGTCTCAGCTCAGATGCCACCTCTGATACTACGAGATGTGTGTAAGGCCTGGGAGAAATTGCTTAACCTTGCCTGATTTTTGTTTTCTCATTTGAAAAATGGGGCCGGGCGCAGTGGCTCAAGCCTGTAATCCCAGCACTTTGGGAGGCCGAGGCGGGTGGATCACAAGGTCAAGAGATCGAGACCATCCTGGTCAACATGGTGAAACCCCGTCTCTACTAAAAATACAACAAATTAGCTGGGCATGGTGGCGCGTGCCTGTAGTCCCAGCTACTCAGGAGGCTGAGGCAGGAGAATTGCCTGAACCCAGGAGGCGGAGGTTGCGGTGAGCCGAGATCGCGCCATTGCACTCCAGCCTGGGTAACGAGAGCGAAACTCCGTCCCAAAAAAAAAAAGAAAAATGGGGCCAGGCATGGTAGCTCATGCCTATAATCCCAGCAACTTCAGGAGGCCAAGGGGCCCAGCTCTTGCAGCAGTTTCCTCTGCTCTCCTCGCCACGTGTGGATGCTCTCGGGCTCCTGGGTCAGCCTGTCAGCCTGGGCAGTGGCTGTGTAGCTGTTGGCAGGACCACTGGCCTCCTAGAACACAAACACGCAGCAGTCTACCCAGCCGGCACACCTGCCCTGCTGTCTCTGCTGTCCTTGCTGGAGGACGGCTTCAGGCCAGGAGTTCAAGACCAACCTGGGCAACACAGCAAGATCCCATCTCTATTTTCAAAAAAAAAATTTTTAATTATGGAAAAAAAGGCCAGGCACAGTGGCTCATGCCAAAATTCCAGCACGTTGGGAAGCCAAAGCAGTCAGATCACTTGAGGCCAGGAGTCTGAGACCAGCATGGCCAACGTGGCAAAACCCCATCTCTACTAAAACTACAAAAAATTAGCCAGGCGTGGTAGCTGCTTAGGAAGCTGGAACTTGGGAGAATCACTTGAGCCAGGGAGGCAGAGGTTGCAATGAGCTGAGATCACACCATTGCACTACAGCCTGGGCCACAAAGCAAGGCTCTGTCCCCCCAACCCCCCTAAAAAAAGGAAAGAAAAATGGGAATAGGCTGGGCCCAGTGGCTCATGCCTGTAATCCCAGCACTTTGGGAGGCCAAGGCAGGTGGATCATATGAGGTCAGGAGTTCGAAACCAGCCTAACCAAGATGGTGAAACCCCATCTCTATTAAAAATACAAAATTAGCCGTGCGTGGTGGCATGTGCCTGTAATCCCAGCTACTTGAGAGGCTGAGGCAGGAGAACAGTTGAACCCTGGAGGTGGAGGCTGCAGTGAGCTGAGATCATGCCATTGTACTCCTGCCTGAGCAATGAGAGTGAGACTCTGTCTTAAAAAAAAAAAAAAAAGAGGGAATAATATTAAGAGCTGTTATGATTTAATACTATAATTTTTTTTTTCAAGATGGGGTTTCACCATGATGGCCAGGCTGGTCTTGAACTCCTGACCTCAGGTGATCCACCCACCTTGGCCTCCCAAAGTGCTAGGATTACAGGCGTGAGCCACCGCGCCCAGCCTTAATGCTATAATATTTGTGAGACATTTAGAAGCGTGCTTGGCTAGAGTGACGACTCAGTGAATAGTAGCTAAAATTACTACTATTATTATATTATTCATTCCCATTTTACAGGGGAGGAAACTGAGGCCCAGAGACATAGTACAATGTAGTATCAGAGCCAGGGCTAGAGTCCAGGTCCCTGACTCCCAGGCAGGGGCTCTGCTCATGTCTCCCCACTGCTTGTCAGAGCTGGGGACCCAAAGCGCTGAGGACTATGAGCTCAGCCCACGAGGGTGTGGCACCCTCCGGCCTGGCAAAGCCTTTCCAATCCGGGTCCAGCCACACCCGCTCTGGCACCCGCGCCCTCTGCATTCCTGTCTGCAGGCATCCCACTCCAGCCACCCTGCCTTTGTCTCCTGGTGCTTCTGGCCTGCAACTGTCTCCCGTCCCTCCTCCTTCAAGCACTTATCAAAACTGACTGCCTGTGTTGCCTGACATCTCCCCACAGGAGTGTCTGGCACGTCCTCTGTCACACCGTGCCCACCTGGCCTCAGCACCTGGCAGGTGCTCCCTAAGCAGTGGCTAAAGGACCAAAGATCCCTGGAGCCAGCAGGCGCAAAGTTCAGAGGAGGAGCTCTGGGGGAGGAGCATATAGATGGGACATCAGGGCTACTGTTTCCAGCCGCCTGGAGAGCGAGGGAAGGGCAGGGCCAGGACGGGGTATAGCCTGGCACCTGGGATCATCGGGGCAGCTGGGCGCCACCCTTACTCCTCTTCGGGCACAGCACTGCATTTCAATTCAGAGATTCCCAACATCCCAGTAGGCGCTGCTGGGGCCCTTATCTGGAGAACACAAGCTCACTGCTGCTACTTTCTGGGAACAACCCTGTTCTGAGGCCAGGCTACCAGGGACTCCTCCCAGCACCGCTGCCCAAACCTACAGAGCCTCCCATCTGCAGACAACTGCACTGTGACTGTGTACATGGGTTTCTCCAGGTGCCCTATTTTATTTTCTTCCCAGCACTTACATCTATCTGAAATGACTTATGAGGTCAGAGAAGTTGGAAATGAAAATAAAAATGCAATGAAGGCATCCATCTGACCACCACTCAATCCCCACTCCTTGAGCACACATGTACTGGAACCTTTCTCTGAGCCAGCCCACGTGGGCATTTAACAGGAATCCTGGATGTCACTTGACTTTTCATTCCTGAAACTTCTCCCACCCTCCGTCTGAGAAAAAGGCACCACAATGCCCTTGTGGGGGAGGGGGAGGGGAAGAGAGGGCCGTATCCCGAGAGTTGTCTTTAGGGTGACACCCATGTGGCATGGAGACCTCAGCCTTTAGTCCGTCAGAAAGGGCACGGGGGCCGCCTTCTCCAGTCACCACTCACTCACTCGCCTCGCAGTGCACAGCATTTTTACAAAGCCTCCTTTGCTTTCTTGGATTTTTGTTACAGATGTTAAAATGAAAGCCTAGGGATACTGAACAATTTACCGCGGGTGCTGAGGCCCCAGGCTATGTTCAGCCTTGATTTCTCCTTCTTTCCCATCCCATGTGCAAGTCATCAGCAGCACCTGTCACCACAATCTCTAAAACTCTCTCTGGCCCTCGCCGCCCTGGCCTGGACCACCGCTGGTCTCTCTGCTTCCTGCGGCCCCATCTCCACAAAACGCCTGAATGACCTGTTCAGAGCCTAAATCCGATTTATCATGTCACACTTTAAAATATTCGAAGGCAGCCGGGTGCGGCGGCTCGCACCTGTAATCCTAACACTTTCGGAGGCTGAGGCAGGAGAATTGTTTGAACCCAGGAGATGGAGGTTGCAGTGAGCGGAGATCGTACCACTGCACTCCAGCCTGGGTGACAGAGCGAGACTCTGTCTCAAAAAATAAATAAATAAAATAAAATATCTGAAGGCTCCCTACTACGGCTAGAACAAAATTTCAGTGATCTGGTCTCTCCCTGGGCCTCTGATTTCTGTCCTCTATCCCAGCACTCTTGCTATACTGGCCTTCATGCAAGCTCATCTTATATCCCCTCAGAGGCTCTGTCTGGAACATTCTTCCCCTAGAATCAAGGGCCTACATCTTCCTAGAGCTTCCCCTGCCTCCTGATTGAGGCGTCAGCTTGTTTACATGTTTATTATCTGTGTGTGTCCTCCCTCTTCCCTCCCTCAAAAACGTAAGCAAGCTCCATGCGGGCAGAGGCTGCCTGGGTCTATACAGCACCCAGCACCGGGAGGGCCTGGCTGCAGAAACCTTTCAAGAATATTGAATGAATTCATAGATGTTCAGGCTTGGGGACAGAGATAAGCAAGACATCTTCCAGACGCTTGGGACAGGGAATCCCTCACAATTGAGAACCACAGCTGAGGAAACGTCAACCTTGCTATAACACAGGTCAGGTAAAGAGGGTGGGCAAGGGAAGGCGCCATTCTTGCCCGGAGGCAGAGTAGAGTAGGGATAGGTGGGGAAGTGCATTTCCAGCCAAGAGTCAGCACGTGTAAGAATCACGTGGGCCTGGAGCCTTTGGGAAATGGATATACAGATGCCCCCTGATGTGGGAGGAGAGGGGTGGAGAGGGGCCCTGGGCAGGAGTCTGTCTTCATCTATATCCTTCAGGGCTTGCCATCTCCATAAAGCCTGCCCTAAATTAAGACTCCAGAGGACTTGCAATTAAACAGCTTTCTTTAATCTTCACAACCCTACATGGCAAGTTTTTTGTTGGTTTGTTTCTTTGTTTTTCTGAGTCTCGCTCTGTTACCCAGGCTGGAGTACAATGGCGTGATCTTGGCTCACTGCAACCTCCGCCTCCCAGACTCAAGTGATTCTCCTGCCTCAGCCTCCCAAGTAGCTGGGATTACAGGTGCCCACCACTATGCCCAGTTAATTTTTGTATTTGTAGTAGAAACAGAGTTACATCATGTTGGCCAGGCTGGTTTCGAACTCCTGACCTCAAGTGATCTGCCTGCCTCAGCCTCCCAAAGTGCTGGGGTTACAGGTATGAGCCACCACACCCGGCCTGGTTTTTTTTGTGTGTTTAATTTTTTGGGGGTGGGAGAGCAGAGTCTATTGTCCAGGCTGGAGTGCAATGGCACGATCTCAGCTAACTGCAACCTCCATCTCCTGCACTCCAGCCTCTCAAGTGATTCTCCTGCCTCAGACTCCCAAATAGCTGGGATTACAGGCACCCGCTACCATGCCCAGCAAATTTTTGTATTTTTAGTAGAGACGGGGTTTCACCAAGTTGGCCAGGCTGGTCTCAAACTCCCAACCTCAAGTGATCCACCTGCCTCAGCCTCCCAAAGTGGTGGGATTACAGGCGTAAGCTACTATGCCCAGTCAAGCTTTATTATTTTTATTTTACAGGTAGTGAAACTTTATCTCCAAAGAGCCAAGGTCACCCAGCCAGGAAGTGGCAGAG